TCTCTAACCTTTCTTTCAGTTCTCATACCTCACTTTAGGGTGTAACTGAAATTGACAGTGGTGCCATGGGTTAGCTAATTGGTGAAGTCTGAATGGAATGTGGATAAGTGAGCAATTTTGGCAGTGAGCAGAGAAGTAAAGTACACTTGTCTCTTAAGTTGTCTCCCCGGCTAAGATTAAACAGAATAATATGTTGCCAAATTTTAGTGATTTATAGGGAATCTGGTCTGAGTCAAGCCAGTATCACACTAATTGCCTCCACACTTATATGTCAGATATTGTGTGTTATTTTTAAAGAGTATATCTTCAGTATTGGATGAAAATATCCCTCTAAATTTAAGAGAATATTACCTCTGAATTATAATTTGAACAAAATTGATGTTCAATTAATGTATTACTCTCTTTTGTCACATATTTAGCCTTTGTAAATTTGAAATCCTGATTTAAGTCACAAAGACATTTTTTGTACAATATAACCATATAATTTATGTAGCATGTTGGTGATGTATTTTTTTAAGTCATGATTAATTAGGCATTTAAGATAGATTTTCCATACTGAAGATAATTGTTTTCCCTTTCTTTAAAATTGTAGTTACTCTAGGCATGCTAATTACTTATTGATTGAGAAAGTTTTTGAAATTCCACTTATCACATTTAGTTTTTGACATATATGAAAAGACTTAAAATAATCTTTCCCACATATAAGATTTCTGTTAATTTTTTATTTTACTTTTGATTTTTCTAGTTTGCATACATTTTTATTTATACACTAGTTAACGTTTATTTTTGATAGTTTACATCAGAGTTAAAAAAAATAATGATTTGTATGACTTATACTATGCATAATAGTAGAGACTAAATCTTACCCTGATTTATGTTTTTAAATGCATTGAATTTCTCTTCTTATTTTAAAAAATACATATTTAGCGGCATACGGAAGAATGTGGGCAATATTCTTATACATTTTTAAGTATAATCATATGTTTATCAGTGATTGTTGTTGTTAAGTACTATCAAGTTGGTTCCAACCCATAGTGACCCTGTATAGAGTTTCCAAGGAGCAGCTGGTGAGCTTGAACCACTGTTCTTGCAGTTCAAACGACTTTGCAGTCTGACGCATTAACCCACAGTGACACACCAGGACTCCTTACAAGTGACTATGTGCTGTAAAATGTTGGTTTTCAATTTGACTTTCTTTTATTTTTATAGTTGATCTGTCTTTGTCATCTGTGCTTTAGTGATTTTCAGTTTTTTGTAGAGTTTTTTTTCTATCTATTTTAAAAAATTGAGCTTGTAATTCTTGGATTTGAACCACTACTCAGAAACCCTGAACATGGTTGCTGTGAGTCAGAATCAACTTGACTGTTAGCAACAACATTATAGATGTTGGTATATATTCCTCAGTGTTTTTAATTTCATTAGTAATATTGTGTCTTCAAATTCTCTTGTATCTCCCTCTGAAATTCTAATCAGATGTATGCTAGGTCTTCCTTCCTTACCCTGTATGTGGGTATTTCTCATTCTAGTTTCTATCTGTGCTTCGTTCCAAATTCTGATTGTGGTTCTTCCATTTCAACAGTGCTCTCTTCAGCTGCATCTAATGTACTTTGAACCTACCCAGTGAAATTTATTCCAGCATTTTAAAAATAATTTTTAAAAATACAAGGCTTGTGTCAGGAGCTCTGGTAGCGTAGTGATTACAAATTGGGCTGCTAACCTCAGGGTCAGCAGTTTGAAAGAAACTACCAGCTATTCTGTGGGAGAAACATGAGGCTTTCTGCTTCCATAAAGATTTACAGCCTCGGAAACCTCCCTGTGCAGGAATGCTATGAGTCGGAACCGACTCCATGGCACATAACAACAACCTTTGTTTTGATCTTCGTTAGTAAGTATTTTAAGTCTTCTTCACTTTCTGCAAGCAAGGTTGTATCATCTGAATATCGCAGGTTGTTAATGAATCTTCCTCCAATCCCGATGCCATGTTTTTCTTCATGTAACCCAGCTTCTCGGATTATTTGCTCAGCAGATGGGTTGAATAAGCATGGTGAAAGAATACAACCCTGTCGCATACCTTTCTTAATTTTAAGCCATTCAGTGTTCCTGTATTCTGTTTGAACAGCTGCTTCTTGGTCCATGAACAGATTCCTCATGAACACAATTAAGTGTTCAGGAATACTTATACTTCACAATGTTGTCCATAGCTTAAAGATCAAAGACCACAGCCTTCGGTATGGATTGCATCTCAATGTAAAGAAAACAAAAACCCTCACCACTGGACCAGTAATCAACATTCTTATCAATGGAGAAAAGACTAAAGTTGTCATGGACTTTATTCTTGGATCAACCATCAACACTCATGGAAGCAGCAGTCAAGAAATCAAACAACGTATTGTATTAGACAAATCTGCTGCACAAGACCTTTTTAAGGCATTGAAGAGCAAATATGTCAGCTTGAGGACTAAGATGTGCCTGACCCATGCCTTGGTATTTTCAGTAACTTCATATGTATGCGAAAGCTGGACAGTGAATAAGGAAGGCTGTAGAAGAATTGATACGTGTGAGTTATGGTGTTGGAGGAGAATATTAAAAGTGCCATAAGCTGCCAAAAGAACAAACAGATCTGTGTTGGAAGAAGTGCAGCTACAGTGCTCCTTGAAGGCCTGGATGGCCAATCTCCGTCTCTCATATTTCGGACATATTGTCAGGAGGGATCAGTCACTGGAGAAGAATGTCATGTTTGTTAAGGTAGAGGGTCAGAGAAAAATAGGAAGACCCCCATTGAGTTGGATTTGCAAAGTGGCAGCATCAGTGGGCTCAAGTGTGGCAACAATTGTGAGGTTGGCCCAGGACCCGGTAGTGTTTCGTTCTGTTGTGCATAGTGTTGCTATGAGTCGGTACCTGCTCGATGGCATCTAACAACAACAACAAACTTGTTTTCTGCTGTTCCAAGTTTTGGCATTTCATTAATATTCTCCTTAAGAGCACCTACACTTCTTATGTTCTCTTTTCAGAGCTTTAGATATGAAATCATTTTGGTGCTTAGGCACATGTTTCTTTAGCAATATGTATAACTTTTGTTGCTCTTTCTTAAATGTCATTTTAGGACATTGTTTAATACATTTTTACTATGGAAAAAAAATAACACTTTCCCCATGCCCCACCACATAGTCTTTTTATATATCAATCCTTGTAATAGCTGATTTCTTAACTTTGATTTGTTGATTCATAATTTACATTGTTTTGGCTACAAATGAACATGATTCGTAATACTCTTGAGTATACATGAACACTATTCAAAGATCATTTGTATGCTGTGCTTATACATTTTTTGGGGATAACTTTTGTTTTCTTTTTGTATTAAGGTTTCTGTTGTTTTCAATGCACAGATAACTAATTCACTGTTGCTATCCTGGGGACTTGTATCACTTCTGTCCTGTGTTGGTTTTTATTTAATTTGAAAGAAGATCCCATGTTTCCTTTATGATGAAGACTTTTGTTTTGGTGGTATACATTCCAGATTAGTATTGTATAAAAGGGTACATGAGAGACACATCTTGAGATTTTTAGTATGTGAAAATGAACTTATTCTTTGTGCATCTAATTGTCTAGGAGTGAAATTCACTGCAGCTTGGAAATAATTTTCAGTCAGAATTTTGAAGACTTTCTACCATTTCCTTTATCTTTTACTGTTCTTTAAAAGTCCAGATCTCTACTGTGTTGGTGATCCTTGTAATGTAACTTCATCCACCTCAATCTCTGGAGGCTTGTTTATCTTCACTATCTTGAAATTTCAAAATTATGTGACTTCTGTGTAGCTTTTTTTTCCTCTGTACTAGATACCTCCCAGGTTGTTTTTTTTTTTATTTAAACCTTTTATTGTGTATTGAGTGAAGGTTTACAGAGCAGATCACCTCTTATACATACATCAAATCATACACTTCATTTCATTACAATAATTGCAATCCCCTCAGTGTAGCATAATTTATCCTCCTTCTTCTCTGTGGTTCTTGTTTCCATTCCTCTTTCATTACCAACTCTTCTGAAGTTTGTCATTGGGCAAATGCCCACCCCACTTTTTAAAAGTTTTTATTGTGAATTGAATGATAGTTTACATGGGGAAATACTGGTTTTACACTTATTGTTTCATAACAATTATTACAGTCTCCTCCATGTATCAATCAACAGTATTTGCTTCCAATTGCTTTGTTTGTGTGTGCGGTGTTCACCAAAACACTCAGGAATGTATAATCATTTAATCAACCAAAGGTCGCATTCTGCAAGTCTGCCTCCCACCCCCAGCTCTCAGTCCCTCTCTTTCCATGAATCTGGAGTCCTCACCTGCTCCCTCTTTCCATGTCCTCATCTCTGTCTCCTTCTCTGGATACCTCCTGGGTATTTTTAATCTATAAATACATGGTCTTCTATTCTGGAAAGTTGCCTTGAATAATTATTTATTATTTATTTCCTTCCCTTGATAGGCATGTTATTTAGTTACCTCCTATACTGACTTTTTAATGTTATCTAGTTATATATACTACCTGTCTATTATTTTGGGGGGATTTTTTTTTTTTTTTCTGTTTTCCCACCTTTTACCATTTTTCTGATCTGTTTGATAAGAGATTCTTTCATTAGTTCCTCCCTTCACACCACCCCGCCCCACCCCAGAGAATCTTATTCCTGTTTCATGCATTCTTCTTTTAAGGTCATTTGTTTTCCCTCCAAGATGATTTTTTAAATTTTTTATTCTTTAATTGTGCCCTTTTTCTTTCACCCTGGAAGTTTATATGATAACTTTACATTCAGTGTTTAGAGAAATGTCCAAATTGTTTTCTAAAGTGGTTGTACCGTTTTACATTCCCACCAGCAATTTAAGATTGTTCAAAATTCTCTCCATTCTCCTTAACAATTGTTACTTTATTATAGCTATCTTAGTGGATATGAAGTAGTACTAAGTTTTTTTTAACATGAAATTATAAGAATTTAAAATTTTTCTTTTTTAGGTGCTGTGCTTCTTTGTAGAGTGCAAGGACTATCAGTCAATATTGACCCAATTTTATATACATGGCTTATCTATCAGCCTCAGAAACGTACCAGTAGACATATACAACAGGTAAGAGGTTTTTATAATGTGTTCAATTCATGCAATTAGTCTTTATATCAGTAAATTATTACTTAAATATATCTTCTATTGATTCTATTGATTTAAAATTTTTTTTTTCAGAATTTCTAGAATGTCTCTTTTTTCTATGCAACCTCCTAACAAAAAATCTTTTTAAGCAGTTCTACAGTTTATTTTCTGTACAAGAAATTGTAGCCCAACATAGAGTGTCATTAACTATTAAAAGAACTTTCAATATAATTATTTGTGAAGTGAGTAGATTAGAGAGATTAGTATCGGTAGTCCTAATTTACTGACCTACTTTTCTTCATAGTGCACAGTGTTGGTAAATGTTAACTTTGTCTTTATTAGCTCTGTATTTCTTCTTCAATTGTAAATTTACTTAAAATTCATACATTGAATGCCAACCTTTGGATATGTTTAATGAAAAAAGGGGTGGGATATATGTTTATTTTAAGAAGCATGAATTACAAAGTAAGAAGTAGCTAATTATTGTTTCTAGGATATTTAAGTACATTTCTGTATGCTAGAATACTTATATGTAATTCTGAAAGATGGATTTTATTATATCCATCTTAAAGTTAGAGAAATTATTGGTTTCTGGGAATTATTTGCTTAAGGTCACATGCTTTTGTTGTTGTTAGGTGCCATAAAGTTGGGTCCAACTCATAGGTATCCTTTGCAGAACACAATAAAGCATTGCTCAATCTTCTACCAGCCTCATAATTGTAACGCCTGAGCCCATTGCTGCTCATACTGTACAAATCCATCTCGTTTGGGGGTCTTCTTTTTTGCTGACCCTCCACTTTACTAAGCATGATGTCCGTCTCTCTATATATCCAAAGAATTGAGAGACAAAGTCTTGCCATCCTAGGCTTCTAAGGACCATTCAAGTTGTACTTCTAACAACACAGTCCATGGTACTTTTAATATTCTTCTCAAATACATCAATTCTTCTGTGTCCTTCCCTATTCATTGTCTAACTTTCACATGCGTATGAAGCTATTAAAAATACACACCTTAGTCCTCAGTCTGATATGTTTACATTTGAACAATATAAGGAGGTGGTAGTGTGCAGCTGAATTGCCTAGTACAATACATTGTACATTCCTTGATTGCTGCTTCCATTAGTACTTAGCAAAATGAAGTCTTTGACAACTTTGACAATATTTTTTTCCATTTATCATACTGTCATTTATTGGTCTAGTGGTGAAGACTTCTGTGCCCTTATTCTGTTTGAACAACTGCCTCTTGATCTAGGTATAACTTCCTCATGAGCACACTTAAGTGTTCCAGAATACTCATTACCCAGAATGTTGTCCATAGCTCATGATCCACACAATCAAAATGCCTTTGCATAGTCAGTAAAGCACAGGTAAACCTCTTTCTGATATTCTGTATTCTCTGCTTTCAGCTAAGATACATTTGATGTCAGTAATGATATCCCTCATTCCTTGTCCTCATTTGAATCTGGCTTGAACCTCTGGCAGTTCCCTGTCAGTGTACTCTTGGCACCCCTTTGTGAATTATCTTGAGCAAAATTGTACTTGGATGCAATATTAATGATATTGTCCAATGATTTCCACATTTCATTGGGTCACCTCTCTTTGGAATGGGCTCACATATGGATCTCTTCCAATCAGGTAGCCAGGTAGCTGTCTTCCAAATTTCTTGGCATAGATGAGTGAGTGTCTCCAATACTGCATCAGTTTGTTGGAAGGTTTCAATTTGTATTCCATCAATTCCCGGTGTCTTGTTCTTTGCCAATAATGCCTTCATTGCACCTTGGACTTCTTCCTTTAGTTTTATCTGCACTTAATCATATTCTACTTCTTGAAATGGTTGAACATTGACCATTTCTTTTTGGTACAATAACTCTATGTATTCTTTCCATCTTCTTTTGTTGCTTTCTGCATCATCCATTATTTTGCCGATAGAATCTTTCTATATTGTTTGTTGAGGCTTCAGTTTTTTCCTTCAATCTTTCAACTTGAGAAATGATGAACGTGTTTTTCTGTTTTGGTTTTATAAGTGTCGGTCTTTCTACATTACACTATAATATTTTACTTTTTCTTTTTAGCTACTGTTTGAAATTTTCTGTTCAGCTCTTTTACCTTCTCATTTCTTCCATTTGCTTTAGCATCTGTACTCTGGAGAGCAGCTTTCAGAATGTTTTCTGCCACCCATTTTGATCTTTTCCTTCTTTATTGTCTTAATAATCTTTTGTTTTCTTCCTTTAAGATGTTCTTGATGTCATCCCACAAGTTTGCTGGTCTTTGGCTATTAGTTCTTTAATGCATGAAGTCTATTCTTGAGATGATCTCTAAATTTAGGTGGGAGATCTTCAAGGTCACATTTTGACTCTCGTGGACTTGCTTTAATTTTCTTCAGGTTCAGCCTGACCTTGCATATGAACAATTGTTGGTCTGTTCCACAGCCTTCTCCTGTTGCAAGTTTGATCAGTTATTTCTAGTTAGTTTGGACCCATAGCGACCCTGTAGAATTCTTTAGTTTTATCATCATTGACTTCAGTGGTTGGTGGTTGAATTTGAATAATAAGTTGTATTAACTGGTCTTCCTTATAGGCATATGGTTATTATCCTATCAAGACAGCATTATACTTCAAGGTAGATCTTGAAATCTTCTTTTTGGTGTGAGTGTGATGCCATTCGTCTTCAATTTGTCATTTTCCACTTAGTATAGTAAATCATGTGATTGTCAGATTCAAAATGGCCAATACCAGTCCATTTCAGCTCATTAATGCCTAGGATATCAATGTTTATGTGGTCCATTTCATTTCTTTCTTTCTTTTTTTTTTTAGAGTTTTTAGTGTGAATTGAGTGAGAGTTTATAGGGCAGATCATCAGTTTTGCATTAAACAAATCATACACCTTGTTTCATTACAATGATTATAATCCCCTCCATGTACCATCAGATACACTTTAACTCTTTTTTGTTTGTTTGTTGTTGTTGTTGTTTTTTCAAACACTCAGGCCTATGTATGTAATAATTTACACCGCCAAAGGACACATTCTGCAAATCTGCCTCCTGGCTACCAGCCAGGAATCTAGAGTCCTCAGCTACTCCCTCTCTCCATGGCCCCATCTCTGCCTCCATCACTGGCATCTCTGCTTCTCTGGATAAGGTCTCATATTCTGCTTGTGCTTTTCTCCCTTCATGGTCTTAGGGTCCTTTGTTTCTGGACTGTAAGATTAAGTACTTCCCCATTTTTGTTTCAAAACTTCTACCTTTACAATTGTGAGAGTCACAATTTGTCATTTTAACTGTTACTCACTGTTGAATCATAAGAATCTTATCCCCATCTCTTAACCAGACCCATCTAGACAAGATGAAAACTATTCAGTGGGGACTTTTTCTTCCCCTGCACACTCTTAAACTAAACTCCCTTTTTAAACCTTGTAAGCCAGTCACTTTGTACCTTTATTGCCCCCTCATTTTAGAAACTAAAGACCCTCTTGAAACTATGTAAGCCCGTCATTTTGTGCCTTTATTGTCGCCTCATTTTAGGTAGCCAAGATCTAATTTTCCCATCCCTATCTACCCTGTCTGTGTACAGAGGGGATAACATTGATACTTGATGTGAAGACTTCTTCCTTCTCTGTTGGTATTTAGAGTTACTACCTCCACGAGTATAGGTCAAGTTAATCAAATAGTAGCAATTTACCCTTGTTTCCTTTATCAAAAAAAAATTTTTTTTTTTTTTTAATCTTCATCTAGTCGAGTTCTGATTATCAAGCCATTGAGGCTAGGTCAAATGGGTACTGTCTGCAAGATTGGGTGTTCTTATGCATCTTCCCTCACATTATATCAGCTGGATGCTTCACTCTCAGCTCTAGCCCTCTGTGGTTATGTCCTTGTCCATGGGCTCAGGTGTCCACTATCTACTTTGTTTTTCTACTGCCTCCCCTTTCTTGTATTGCCCTCCCCAATACTTGAATTATGATGTGTCTGCCCCCTAGCCTGTGCTGTACTGTAGCCTCCCTCCACCTTCTCCTATACCCCCAACCCAACCCTACTGTTGTGGTTACCTTATATTCCATTAACTTTTTCCTCCATTTAAGACAGTCTATTTTATCCTGTAATGCTACCTGACCTTCTCACCACCTGGATCTCTGTTCCTATGTGTTTACCTTCTTTCACATTTTAATTGTTTTGATCATAGAATGACCTACCTGATCTTCTGAATGTGTTCTTATAGAATTATTCTGTTCTCGACTCTTCCATTTGTCGATTGAGTTCCGTGTGGTGCTGCCACATATGTCAGTCTCTCCTTGTTGTCTGTTCTTTTTGGTTCTCAGTCCACAGAACTTCCTTTAGGATGTTTTTTATAGCAGGGTTGGCTTTGGCAAAATCCCTTAGCTTCTGTTTATCCTGGAATGTTTTGATTATACCATTGTATTTGATTGACGGCTTTGCTGGGTAGAGGACTCTTGGTTGGCAGTTTTTTTCTTTCAAGATTTTCTATATGTCTCTCCATTGCCTTCTTGCCTGCATGGTTTCTGCTGAGACATCTGAGCTTAATCTGATGTGCTTACCTTTGTATGTAACATTTCTCTTTTCCCTAGCTGCTTTCAGGATTCTGTCTGTATCTTTGATTTTGGAGATTTTGATTATTATGCCTTGGTGATTTTCTTTTAGGGTCTGTCCATCCTGGGGTTCGTTGAGCGTCTTGAATGCTTATCTTTTTGCTTTTCAGGATGTTAGGGAAATTTCTTCCAGCAGCTCTTCAACTATCTCCTCTGTGGACTTGTGTGATTTTTCCTACTCCAGAATGCCGATATTCTTGTTATGTCTCATCATATTGTCCAACATGAATCTTAGAATTTCTTCAGATTTTTTAATCTTTTCTCTGCTTGCTCTTCTATCTTAGTAGTAATGACAGATTTGTCTTCCAGCTCACTAGTTCTAGCTTCCATCTCTTCATTTCTACTCCTTTGCCCTTTCAATGTATTTTCCATTTGTGATATTCTATTATTAATCATTTGGACCTCTTTCTGTAGGTTTAGAATTGTTTCCAATGCTATAACTATCTTATTTGATTGTTCCTGGAGTGCTTTCCTGACTTCTTCCTTGTTTTTCTCAACTCCATTGTAAAGGGTTTTGATACATTTTATAATTATTTTTTGAATTCCTTCTCAGGCATATCCAAAAGCCTGCCCTCCTTCCAGTTTTGAGTATAGTTCTACCTCCAGCTCATTTGTCTCAGTCACTTTGCCTCATTTCTGCACATGTGCTGATATGGTTATCCATTTCTGTTTCTTGGGCATATTCAGTACTTAGTTAGCTGTGGCCTTAATACTTAGGTGAGTGTGTGTTTTGATATTTTTTATACTTTCTGATTGCCTCCAGGTAGATGTGATCAGGAGATGGGCTTCCATTTTCACTGTTCTTATTACTCAACTCAGAGTAACTGTCACAGATGTTGGCTGCCTACCTGGTGTATGGCAGCTGGTATTGGTTCTTGTCCGGATTGTGGGGTTTTATAGGATGTGATTGTAGCTTGACTATACAGTAGCAATTACTGTCTCTTCTTGGGTAATGTAGGGAGAGAAAGAGCCCTCTAAATGAAAATAGGAGACCAAAAAAACAAAACAGCAGTAGCAGAAAAGACAGATTGGATGCTGTAGTCTATAATCGCCGAAAAGAGAGAAGAGTAAAAAAGAAAATTCAGTATCTAATATGAGTATGATTTTAATGTCCTTTTTCGACTTCCTGTCTTCAAGGCCGCCTGAGGAATTTCAAGATGGTAGTTGTTATGATGTAACTCAAGATTTAATTTTCGGTCTATTTCCTTTTTAGTCTGCTTGTCCTGTTCCACAACCCCAGTCCAGGCCTTTTTCCCAGTGATAAACAGTTCCGGGCTAGCTTTGCCCGTTTTATGCTGCCGTTTGGTTTTAAGTGGTAACTTTTTCTTTAAATTTTGAGGAGATCTATGCATATGCATGATAGAACCCTCCGGGTGTATGGGAGGGTGACTACTTGCCCAACCATCCCCTCTAGTCACCAGAATGGAGCTGTGCAGAGACAGCAAGAGACCAATGAAGAGATTGAAAAAAAAAGAAAGAAGAATGTCCACACCTTTAACTCCATGGTGCTGTCAGGCATCCTTGGCTGCTCTGATCTTTCCCCTGCTCTGTCTCACCCAAGATGGCCTCTCAGGCAGCAGCTGAGCGCCTTGGATTATAAAGCACTTTCTTGCTTCTGCTCCAAATTCTGCTGGCTGTAAGCCTTCCAATTTTCTAAATACTCTTTTATATGTGGTTCAGAGTTCTGAGACCATCTCCTGAACCTGCTTGGTGTCTGGTATTTGGTGTTATTGCTGACAGAGCTCCTCACTGCGCTTCTACCCTATCCACCATCTTGTTTGTTCTCTCCTTCTATTTCATTTTGACAACTTCAAATTTTCTTAGATTCATACTTGCTACATTCCATGTTCCAATTATTAATATATGACCAATATTATTGCCTAAGTATACAGTATCACTGTTTCCTTACCTTGGATCATGGAATGCCAGAGTCACAATGCCTGTATTACCAATCATTCATGAAATGAGGGTCTAACATGCGGGCACTCGGTGTAGATGTTTAGAGTACAACTGTGCACAAGACATACAACATTCTTAGTCTTGTGTTAGAAATTATTTTAATTGAGCTTTATTTTCCTTTTCCCTCAGTGAAAATATATCTGGAGTTTTTACCAACTGAAGATTCTCTTTCATTTGTAGGATATTGACATTATCGTGGCTTACATTGATCTTAATATTTCAGTTATTGTATGTACTTGAATTTAGTAACACATTGTGTAGTATGGCACTCTAGGATCAACACTGGACTGCTAACCACAGGTCAGTGGTTCAAATACACCAGCCACTTCTTGGAAACCTTACACAGTGTCAGTTTGAGTCAGAACTGACTTGATGGCGTTAAAACAAGCATATAATATTTATCTAATTTCTTTTTGTGTGTTAATTTTCCCTCTGAGCGTTGTCAAATTTTCTTACAGAGCTTTATTTTATTTCAGATTTAAATCATGGCCTTGGAATTAGAAGGATTATGAAGTCACTAAATATTATAGAACACACAGCTTTGTTAATCAAAATCATCATTCCCCTATTTTATAGTTGAATTAAATTTAGATAAATCAAAGTTTCAATAAGTTGAGTATTTCTCATCTAGCTCTCAAAAAGCTATTTTCTTTTTAGATTTGTATAAGTGTTTAAATTTTCTAAACTAATTTCAGAGTTTTAGATAAGCTTGAGACTAAATATTTGGGTATTATAGACAATTTAAGGAGCTCTGGTAGCGTGGTGGTTACGAATTGGGCTGCGAACCACAAGGTCAGCAGTTCGAAACTACCAGCTGGTCCATGAGAGAAAGATGAGGCTTTCTGCTCCCATAAAGATTTATAGCCTCGGAAACCCTGTGCAGGGTCACTGTGAGTCGGAACCAACTCCACGACACATAACAACAACAACATAGACAATTTGGAAAATAAGGATTTGTAGTTAATATTTATAATGTGCACTCTGAATGGTGTGACCATATAATAGCCTGGAGTGGATTGTCATGAAAAATAATTTGATTTTGTTCTTCTACCGTAAGAATATATATCATATTTACCCTAATTGCATAGTAGTGGATTTAATTAAATACTGGGAACTTAATACCTACTAGTAGTTATTAGAATAGATGACCATGTTAAGGATTAATAAAAGTAGTATATGTAACTGTTTGCCATGGTCATCAAGAAAAAAGAAACTTTTTTTTTTTATATAGCACTTAGGTTATAGAGATGTTTGAGGCATTGTTTAAATGGTGATCAGTGTATATCAAAATTACAGGCAACATCAAAAACACTTACTTATAATGTTATTAGCTACTTCCAAGGGTATAGACTAACTTCAAAAGATAAATAACAGGGCTACGTATTAGTTGTCAAATAGGTTGTACAAAATCTATATATTTGAAGCATAAAGAATCCACAAAGACAAATCTGTAGAAAATCAAATAATTGTTTGACATATTGCTTTGTTGTTTTAGACTACATATTAAAAGTAAATAGTTTCTTTTTCAATCCTAAAAGTGTTATTTTACTGTATTTGTTTTGTACACCAATATTTGTGCTTTGTATGTTTAGTTTTCAATGATTTGAATTGTTTAAATTCATGGAATTCTCTGTTTGACTAAATACTTAATGTGAAATTAGGCACTCTACAACATATTAATCTTTTCATCTTGTTCTTTTACTTAACAAACTAGTTAATAGTAAAATAATTTGCATCTCTTTCCTCTAATCCAGATTTGGTACATCAGTATTACCTATATAATGTGTATATTTAGCCATTCACGTAGCTTTGTAATATAAGTAATACCAAGTGCTGTCCAGTCAATTCTGACTTATAGCTACACTGTATATGGTTTCCAAGGAACAATGGTTTGAACCATTGACCTTGAGCTTAGCAGTCAAGTGCTTATCCTACAGTGCCACAAGTATAAATTAAGTGAAGTTTATAGTAGAATCTGCAGGAGAAAGATGAGGCTTTCTACTCCCGTAAAGATTTACAGCCTTGGAAATCTTATGCAGGTCGCTATGAGTCAAACCGACTCCACGGCATACAACAGCATAGTAGAATCTGCAAAATTTTGGTGATTGTGTTGTTCAAAATAACATCAGATTACATTGCAACCTAACCGCCACCCCATTCAAATTCATCATTTGATATAATTTTATTACAGTTATCATCTGATGAATCTGATGTTTCCCAAGTTGCAATTTTCTTCCTGATTTATGGCTAAAACCATCTTTTTAATGACTGTTTTCTATCCAGTTCAACACTGATCTTTGATCCTCCTGTAGAAAACTTAAAAATGTCCTTTTTTTGCCAGGTATCTCACAAGTTTGTATTGGGCGTTATCAGCAGTAACATCAGAGTTTATTTCAGTGAATAAAGATGAAACAATTGCTTTTTGTCTAACTCAGCACTTATGCATTCAATGTAGGACCATAATATTTTCCAGCTTTCTCTAAGTGTAGATATTTTTGATGCTTTTTGTCTTATAGATAACACTTTATCATGCCAAATATAGAGGTTTATGTCGATTTTTTTTTTTTAATTTGGACTGTTCAGTGTGCATGTATGCAATCAGTTTAAAGAAGAGTTTCCATAATTTTATAAGGATACCTTTGTGTTCTAGGAATCATAATTTTAAAAATTAATGTTAGGTTTGATCTTCCCTTTCCATATTTCCTCTATGTATAAAATTTGTGTTGACACTGAATACTTCTATTGTTTTCTGTCCATAAATGGTAAATTTTCATTTTAATTTGCTCTGTTTCTGTGTGTGTTTTTGTGAGTGCGTGAGAGAGGGAGGTTGATTGATGATAACCAAGCCCCTCCTTCAGTCTGTGAAGGGCTGTCGTCAGTGATGCCACCTTTTACCCCTCACTGCTTCAGCAGACACACCACTCAGTATTTCGTTTTGCTTCTTTCTAGCAGCCCGTGGTCCCTGTTCCTCTTGTTATGCCACTTGGCAGAAGGAAAGAGGATGAAGTGTCTGTTGGAAGCGCTCCTTTGGCAAAGCAGCAGTCGTATCAGGCCTCTGAATATGCCAGCAGCCCTATAAAAACAAAAACCGTAACAGGTAAGGCTCAGAGATTCTATCCTGTCTCTAAGCTAACAAGTTTGTCTTTCACAGGCTTCATAGAGGCTTTGCAGAAAGCGTTAGACTCAGTAGAAATGGAGACAAAAGGCTATCACTCAGAGAATGAGCAAGTTCTTGCTATAGTGCCCTGAGACCAATTTCCACAGGGTGGCACAAAGCAGGCCAGGTGAGGTCTACAAATACAGTACGCGACATTATAGGAGAGGAACTCTGAGCTTAGGAAACTCATTTCTTCTATCATGGACAGAAATATTGCCTATCCTTTTCTCTAGTGAGAGATATGATTTCTACCTTGTAAGGCAAAAGGACACCTATCCTTTGTTCAGGTGGATGTTGTTACCTCTGTCATCCAAGGCTACTCTCTATATAACTGTTCTTGAAAATGCAGTCAAGAGCATAAGCAGTCAGTGCCACTAGTTGGCAAGACTTGCAGAAACACAAGTAATCTAGGGAAAATTCTCTTATAATAGTTTGTTCCTTCTTAGAGTGAATTATTGAAAATAATACTATATCTCATGGAATTCTGGTGTGGTACTGTAGAATGAAGCACTGGACCACAAGGTTAGCTTGAACCACAAGGTTGGTGGTTCAAAGTCACCAGCTGATCCTTGGAAATTGCTATAAGTCAGAACTGACCTGAAGGCACTTAACAACTACAACATTATATGTCTCAGTTATCTTTTTCCCCTTTTCTTTCTTAGCTAGGTCATCTATACAGATATTACAATATCCTTTTGTGTAGTTAAAAAGCACATTGTGATTTTATTTTCATGCATGTTTTTTTCTAATTTTTTTTTTTTTTTTATGATAGGCCATCTCTCTTCAGGTGATTTTGTATCTTAGGTATTCACATTTATTTCTTCTAACTCATATTCTCAAACATAGTGATTCAGATTTTTATGTTTTCAAGAAATCAAAAATTACTTATGGAGTGTCTCTTATGGGCAAGACTCTGTTGTACGAGCTATTGAGGGTAGAAAATATAAGATATATGTGGTAGGATGCACAAGGAAGTTTCAGCAAAAGTGTATGGATTAGCTGGGCCTTGAAATAGCAAGGTATTGGACTGGCTGAGGTCTCCTCCCTGGTTCTTGGGCTTTGAGCAGAGGGGAGTGTCTTATGTCACCAGCGTTGTTTTCTTTGTCCACGCCTGTCCTCGGCCTCTCCCTAATGTGGTCAGGGCTTTGCTCTGGATCGCTTCCTTGTCTTACTCAGCTTGACAGTTCCTTGACTCCTTTGTTTCCTCCCAGTGTCCATGTACAGAGACGAGCAGGATCTCCTTTTGGTCCATCGCCCAGACATACTTAAGCACCCCAGGGGCCTGCGAATGGTCCTTCCAGGAGCCCTGAATGCAAAGTCAACATTCCCAGGGAGCTGCTGGGCCGAAAAGTGTTCCCTATTTCCAAAACGTGCATACCACTCATTGTGAAGCTCTGGAAGCCTTCACAGAGAAGGAGGCCCAGGTGATTCTCCTTGACGTACCTACTCTCATGAGCACCCATGAAACAGAAGAGGCACCTTTTGGAATTTGCTGATCTGGGTGTGGTTCTTGTGGTTGTCTTAGAAAAGTGGACGTGAAACCAGCTCAGTCCTTAGGTGCTCCAGTGCTTAAGCCAGTTCTCCCAGATTCTTAGCATCCTTTTCCTGAGTCAGGGAGGTTGTCTGAAGTAGACGTCAGTTGTCCTGGGGCTCACAGCCACCCTCAGTGAGGGTGTGATCTATGGGAAGACGATCAAGATGAATCAGGCCTTCGGCTCACATCCCACCGTCCCCTGCTCCAGCCCAGAAGCTAAGGGCCCAGACCCACAAGGATTGGCTGGTTCCACTTCCAGGAGATCGGAATGTTATCAGCCTTGAGCCAAGAGAATGTGCAAATGTTAAAGCTATACCTCCTGGCACAGGCCTTGGGTGATATGCAGTGGGGTCCTCACTACCCAGACCCCTGAGGAGATCGGTGCCAACATCATCAGGGAGAAGCTTCTCGAGTACCTGCCCCAGGAGGTGCCCTACAATGTAGAGCAGAAAAGTAAAATGTGGGAGTAAGGGTCAGGTGGCCAGCTGGTGATCCTACAGAAGCTTCTTATGTACTGAGAATCTCATGTGAAAATCCTGCTTGGTCAGGAGGGTCAGCTGATTGCCCAGATAGCAGAGATGGGCTGTGACCTCAGGGACATCTTCCTTTGTGACATCAGCTCCGTCTGTCTTTGAAGCTCCTCAAGTGACGACCCCCTATTGCCCCTCCCCAGGTATCCCAGGTCAAGCTACTGGCAGGAGTCACTGACCAGAACTGCCCCTACCAGGGACCTCTAGGGCCTGGTGAGGAGCATGGACATGACTGTTGGCTAGCTGGCCTGGCCTGGCCTAGTCTGCACAGCGTTTGCATGGCCACTTCTCTTGTTGGAGAAAGGAGCCTATCTTAGTTCAGTTCTCAGGTAGTTCCTGTGCTTGGCACTACAGCTTGCTTCTGGCTCAGATCTTAGCCTCTTTGTGGAAATAGTGCCCGCTTGCCTCCAGCTGGCATTGAGCCCAGAGTGACTGCCTAAGTTTCCAGTAGTTAGTAGAGAGGAGCTTTCTTCTGTTCTCAGTTCCTCCACCTTTAAACCAAGTAGGACCCATGTATTTTGAATGAGAAAGTGCCTCCCTCCTGAGTCCCAAGGTCTTGATTCTTTCCCATCTCAGTCCTTTCCCCAATCTTGAATGGGAAAAACGATAAAAGAGACATATTTAAGATTATGAGTTAGAGGCAGAGCTAGTATTATTTCTTTACCATATTTAGTAACTACAACAGGAATGCGGTATAATTTTTTTTTTTAGGAATGTGGTATAATTTTTATATATAACTATTATTATTTTGTGCTGTTATTCGCCTTAAAATGCGACATTGTATTTATTATATGGTGTCATTATAATTCTACCAGCTAATATTCACAAACCTTTTATTTTGTTGATATTTACTTTACTAATTAACAAAATGCCTATTTGTTAGCTTTTATACCATAGAGATTATCTGTGCTTTATGTTGAATTACGATTATAAACAAATAGCACTTCCTTTAGATACCACTCTAAATACTTTCAAATTGTAAGTCTCTCGAACTGGTAGCTTACATAAAGATTTAAAAGTATCACCTCTTAATAAAAGAAAATAATGTCACCAAAATGTCAACTGATAAATAAATTTAACTTTATAAGCACTATAAACCATGTATTGGGGCTCCCTGCCTTACGTTTCATCCCAGGTCTTTAAATGACTGCTGATAAATAATTTTAAGGAATATTAGTATTGAAAGAGAATGTTTATAGTTTAAATGATAATACACAGGAAGCCTTCAAAAAGTTCACAGAAAATGGAATTAAGAGATAGTGATTTTCCCCAAGCTCCCGTGACATGATATGGAACTACAAAGAAAGTATAGTCATAGATTTGAAAATATATCTGTATAGTCAAAGATACTTTTATATGTACTTTTCATAAGTTAAAATGATATCAGTTATCTCACTATTTTGGTTTCAATATAATATTTTTCATGTTTTATATGTTCTTTATTTTTGATAAGTGTCTTCAAGTCAGTTCTGACTCATAGCAACCCTGTTGTATAGGAAATATGGAGAGCAGCTGGTGGGTTTGAACAGCTGACTTTGCAGCTAACAGTCCCGTGCTGTCTTATCCAATATTGCCACATGAGGATTACATATTTTATATGTTGTTGTTAAGTGCTATAATGTTGGTTCTGATTCATAGTGACCCTATACAGGGTTTCTGAGGAGCAACTGATGGGTTTGAATTGCCTGCCTTGGTTCATAGTGGTTCACAGATCTGTGCTGATCCTACAGTGTGCCACACCAGAAGTCCATGTTTTATATAAAAATTAATAACTGATAATTAATTATTTATATAAGAATTAATATATAGTGAGGAACATAGAAAAATTTTAAGTATATAATTTTCTGTTGTTAATCACTACTTTCTGTATATTATGTGCATATACATGTATGCATATATGTGTGTGTTTATATATGATGTTTAAAATACTTGCTTATAAAGATCCAAGACTACAACATTCGGTATGAGTTACACTTTAATGTAAAGAAAACAAAATCCTCACAACTGGGCAAATAGACACCATCCATATAAATGGAGAAAAGATTGAAGTTGTCAGAGACTTCATTTTGCTCAGATCAACCATCAACACCCATGGAAGCAGCAGTCAAGAAATCAAACGTCATATTGCATTGATCAAATCTGCTGTACAAGACCTCTTTAAAGTGTTAAAGAGCAAAGATGTCAGTTTGAGGACTAAAGTGCACCTGACCAAAGCCATGTTACTTTCAATAACCTCATATGCATGAAAAAGTTGGATAGTGAATAAAGAAGACCATAGAAGAATTGATTCATTTGAGTTATGGTGTTGGAGGAGAATATTGGAAGTACCATGAATTGCTAAAAGAACAAACAGATCTGTTTTAGAAAAAGTACAGTCAAAGTGCTCCTTGGAAACCATGATGGCCAAACTCTGTCTCTCTTGTTTTGGATATGTTCAGCAGGGACCAGTCACTGGAGATTGAAATCATGTTAGGTAAAGTGGAGGGTCGGAGAAAAAGAGGAAGACAGACAACGAGATGTACTAGCACAGTGGCGGCAGCAGTAGGCTCAGGAATGGCAACAATTGTGAGGTTGGCCCAGGACTGGGCAGTGTTTGTTTATATACATATGCAGTGGTTACGAATCGGGCTATGAACCACAAGGTCAGCTGTTCGAAACTACCAGCTGTTCCGCAGGAGAAAGATGAGGCTTTCTGCTCCTGTAAAGATTCACAGCCTTGGAAACCCTCGCTATGAGTCAGAACCGACTCCACGGCACATAACAACAACAACAACATGTGTATATATATATATATAT